GCCAAATTAATATGTTACCATTAACTAAAGTCCATACTTTATTCAGATTTCCTTAGTTGTCCCTTAGTGTCATTTTTCTATTCTGGGATCCCATCCAAAGTGGGCTCTATCTTCCAGATGCTCGAGGACATGGGGACCCTGTAGAAGGGAAGGCATTTCTGGGAGCAGCTCCTGGGCTGGGGACAGCGTCTTCGCCTGCAGGACTGCCTGCTGTCCTGAGGCATGGGGAGAGCAGACCTGAAAAATCCCCCAACAATTAGGCCAGGCCTTTGATATTCTGCTCCTGGCTGTCCCATGCACTGAAGAAAACTGAGACAATACTGATGAAAGCCTTATACTTTTCATAATTTCCCAGTTAGCTGTCAGAGTAATGGTTTGAGTAGACACTTCAAATAAAGGCCTATGTGTGTGTATCTGTGTGTGTGTGTGTGTGTGTGTGTGTGTGTGTGTGTGTACGCATGCGCATTTAAAAGCAACCTTTTCAATAACCCAAAACATTGGTGTTTGGAGCTAAATGACTCCCCTAACTGATAGCTTTCATTTATTAATGTGTTTATTTATTTTTGCTCTGTTAAAAAAAGCATGTCTGTCAGTCCTAAGAGCCTACCTCCACACGGAACCAACCATTCTGACGGTACTTTGGCTAGCTCACAGGAAACTGTCAGATGGTCTCTTTCCACCCGAGATTACTGATAAAAGTACTTGTTTACCTCGAGCAAATGTTCCTCCTCCTTTGGGGCTTATAGGTAGTCTGTATGCGTTATGTCTGCCTCACACTCCTGTTTTAGTGCTGCAGCTACTTGCCAATCTTTTAAAGTTAGGATCCAAAATAAATAGACCAATTCTAATCCAGTAATACTTTGATATCTAGATACAATCTTCACCTCTGGAACTCATCTTATTTAGAAAAAATAATTCCTGTGAAATCTTTGATATGCTTAGTTGTAGAGACAGAAAAGTCACATGAGAGCCAGAAGTTCCACAGCCAATTTCTCTGAGAGGCAAAACTGGATCTTGGTCTTTCTGGGTTTGATTTTTATGACCACTGAGCACACTGCTTCATCAAAGTATAGGAAAAAGGTCACCTGGGTGGTGAATTACTCACGGCAAGCAAACGAGCTAAAAGAGCTTTAGTATTAGGATATGAAAGCCCTTTTAAATCAGTTTTTATAAAATAAGAAAATCTCTAGAGCAAACTATCCCTGGGAGATTTGGTACTATTCTGGGGGAAAATAACCCTCCTTGATCTGCTGCCTTGATCTGAATGAAGGGCTCAGTGTTTTTTTCCTCCTCCAGTTTTAATAATTGGAAAAAGCCCGACTGCTTTAAATTGGAGGAAACAGCTAATGAGGCATGCCACTGCCTTTAAAATGAAGGGAAAAAAGTTTCCTGCTGAGGCAAAAACCCAGATGGCAAGAGAAAGGAGAGGGAAGAGGCGACCAAAATACCATCAAGCTCCTCCCCAGGGCTGAGCAGAAGGTTGGCCTGAATAGGAAAATGGCTCCTTGGAGTATGTTAATGAGACGGCAAATGGGGAAGAGACTCAGCCCAAACAGGGAGTGTTGGGATCTTCCCCATGTGAAGTCTTTCCTGGGTACAGAGCACAGCACGTTTAATCTGGCCTTTGAAAAGCTCCCCCCACGTTTCCTGGGGACCCAAGGTGCAGTCGGAGATGGTTCCACGTGGAAGACGAATGCTGGAGGCCGCCTCAGCCCCTGCTTTCCTGCGTTCTAGCGCAGGCGGCCTGTGCCCCTTGCCTTCCCTCACCCAACTTGCCCTCCCTGGTTTTAAGAGCCCTCCCAGGCTCTACTTCCACCCATGACCCATAGAAAAAAATCTTCACTTTTTATCTGATGAGAAAGGAACAAAAAAGTAGGAAAACCGATTTGATTTTAAGAAAAGTTAATCCAGTCCAGAATGACTCAGGAAAATCCCTACATCCCCACGAGAGTCTCCACCCAAGAGGGCATATCCCATCTCCTCCTTTGCCCTTGCTAGGATCTACACCTCTGAAGGAGACATCTGTTTTCTTTAGTCACTTTTGAATTGCTTTCCCACCTGGAGGACAGCAATCCCACATGCTGAAACAGAAGTCAGGTTGCTGTGGGGCAAGGCAGGCTAGTGTAGGTGGGCAGGGAAGGAAGGCTAGTCAGCGGGTAGCCCCTAGGGATGGCTTCCAAAACTCTCAAAGTGAAGTTGGTTCAATCCTCATGCTGGTCTGCACAGTTGTTTACACAGTTTGAGTCGAGTCCAAGGAACAGACTCTTTTTCCTCTATTCCCAGCATTTTTATCGAGGTAGAAGTTAAAAAAACAAATACTAAAACTAAAGAAAAATGAAAAACCAACTAACCAACCAACCATCTAAAAAAAAACTGTACGGGTGATGTGCTGGTGAGAGGAAATCCCTGCCCTGTCATGCTGATGTCACCCATGCAGACACCCTTCCTGTCGTCTGAACAGGACTTTCCCTCCTACTTTGCCAGGCTGTGGGAATTCTGGCCATGCTAATTGCCTGGTTCCAAACTCCCAAAAGCCTAAGGCTAGTCCTGCCAAAGATTAATGCGGACTCAAACACACTAAATACACTTACTCCTTTGTATAGAATGTACTGCAGAGTAAGTGACAAAGATAAACCACTTGTTAGCAAGGCTGGATTAAAGCTATAAAATAGCCTGGTTGTGGCAAGATTCAACCCTCTCCCCTCTTTTAAATCCCTCTTGCTTAAACTTTCTGAACTCTCTTGTTTTGGAGAAAACTCAAGAATACCGAAGTGCCTCTTACCTGCTCATAGAATCGATTGTGCGCAACATAAAACTTGGAATCAAAAGATTCTTCTGTTACTAACACTTGTTGCCTTTCACCAATCTGTGGAGAGAAGGAGAGGAAGAAAAGGAACGATAAGGCAAACACTTGAGAATCCAAAATCAGAGGTCTGTCCAAATAGGTCTGCACCCAGTAGTGTCCTCTGGAACCTAAAGGAGACTTTAGATTGTTAGTTATTTAACAGCTAACATTGTTCAAATCACTGATTCAAATTTCTTGGAAGACATTAATTACGGGGCAATATAAAATTAACATAGTATGAACTCTTATTTTCTTACATAACTATGAAACAGAATTTGATCTTATCTCCTCCTTCAACATAAGCAAGATAATTAAAGCTTCTATGACATACAAAAATCTTCTAAATATCACTTTGTTTCTTGAAACGAAGTTGCAAAACAAGCCAGAACAAGCTGCTTCTAATCCAAATTCATGAAAATATTTTGGCGATATAAAAGAATAGTAATAAACGTTAATTCGAGTTATGAGAGATGTAACACTAAAGAAAATGCCTCCAAAAGCCAGTCATTAGGTCCTTCCACCTCAACATTTCATATGTTGCATACAATTCTGAAATTACTAATTCACACAATTATTTATTATATACATTTTCTCTATCACAGCCTACTATCTCTTTGCTGTAGCCATGACCCTGAGTTCATTAATTTTTTTTAAAGAGAAAGACAGCAAAAATACGGACTGTTAATTTTCTACAGGATTGACCAACATTTATGATTTAAGTATACATTTTTAAAGCTCTGACTCGGGTGGGGCAAAGAAAATATATGTAACTTAAACATTTTTACTCCCGTAATATGCTGAAATAAAAATATTTAAAAAATAAATTAATTAAAAAAAGAATTTAATCAGCCACAACAATGGTTAAAGAAATGTGACTATTCTAAAAACATTCTACCATTTCCAAGTTTATTCTACTGTGAAACGCAGCATTTAAAGTATCAATTACTCTTTTTCACAAGGTTGTCAAAATGTCTGATGTAGCAAACCAACTGTATTGAATGATTGTGCCCAGAATTATCTTTGCCATTGCTACCTAATAAATACAACCCCTGAAATTAAAGCACATTGGCAAGATGATTTTTTAAAAATTTCTATTCTCATTTGTAGGAACCTGTCACCATGTTCAGGCAGTTACCATACAGGAAACATAAACACAGCTGCGCTAAATAGGCCACCTAACAATTAAAAAAAAAAATCAAACTCCCCTCTCCATCATACAATGCCAATACCGAAATACACCATAATTTACTGTCTAGTTTGCTATCTCATTCAAAATGTGGCTCCCTTAGCAAAAGGTTGTAAGGTCTCTGAGATGATACTTATCAGAGACTTACTTCACTCCCTGAAAAATAATGAAAGTTCTGGCAACATTAATCTCTGTAAAAAAATCAAGTGACAAAAAAGAAAATTCCCTAACTTCTACTTCTAGCTTCGATGGCTCTGTTTATCAAAACAGATTGGTGAATATTGGGTTTCACTGAAGTATATTCTTTGGGAAGAAAACTTAAAATGTTTGTACACATTTCACAGTGTGAGTTGCTTATAACTTAGGATAAGTATCTGTCAATGGTTCTTAAGGGAATCTGCAATTACACTTCACCTAACACTAAGTTTTCGGGAAATTAATCTAACAATAATATGAAATTGTAGAGCCACTGGAAACGTATGCTGCTTCTTTCCTTTTATTAGAACCAATATGGACAGTTCTGGTCATCATTTCTGGGCTGTTCTAGTTCATCTGGAGATGATAACGATGACAGTAATATATACACGGAGTTAGAAAGACTCCCTGTTTATACAGTAGAGAGCTGGGCTTTCGATCAACCAACACAGAACTATTTGTAGGTGAGTATTTAACTATTATTTGCCAAAGGGACTTGGAAGAACTGCTATGTGCAGTAACTTATGGTGGCAAACACCTTTCCAGTCACCCTATGTGTGCCCTTACCTGAGGACCTTGTCTCACTGGTGAGGCCCTTAAAAATCCCCAGAGCACACTGAGCAAAAGTGAGTATAAGTGGGACTTAGGGAAGGCTTCTTAAGGAAAAAAAAAACAAAAAAGAAAAGAAAAAAAAAGAGCATGCGAAGGCTAGGGCTTTGATTAAAAGCTGCTGCAATCCATCCCACCCATAAATAATAAAAGCTCTCCTCAATATTGTTTATTGTGAATGAAGTCACATTGAAGTGACTATCAAATACAACCTTTAAGAGAATCTACTATTTCAAATAATCTTAAAAGCAACAATGAAGTTAAGGAAGGGGGAGTTCAGATGAAACTCTGGAAGAGGCAGCCTTGCCTTGGTGACAATAAAGGAACTTGTAGGCTAAGCGAATGTTTATAAGTCTCAAGTTTCTTTTTTAAATGAATCATTTCCCCCTGTGCTTTCCATCTATTGTCTCCCCAATCCCACACAGAGACCCTGTGTGGTTAAAGACCCCCATCTCACAAGATTTAGGGTAATGATCCTGACTTGCCATATTCCAAGAGTTCCTCTGCTATCAGAGTAAGGAAGAAAAAGGCAGAGCATGTGGAGAAAAGGGGCAAGGCTACAGATAACCTTAGGCCACCAGCATCACGCCACCCAGTTACCTGTTATGCTAATGGCAGAGACAATTCACTAGAAGGGATCAGAGTTTGTCTTGCAGAGAATGATGGAGAGGGCATTGTGTTTCAGGCAATATTATGCTGCACAAATGCTTGTCTGACATTTTGCTTGAGAAGCAGACTTCTATGGCTACCTAATTATCACTGACAGAAATTTGCCCAACAGCTGGAACCTCCAACAGGAATGCAAGGTTACATCACTTTGAAAAATAAACAAACAACATCCTGCAAAGTAAGGAAGAGGTTGAAAATCATGGTTTTCATAAAATTTGTGACTAGTAGCATGCTACAGTTTTTCCCCACCAAAACTCATGTTGAAATTTAATTACCAGTGTAGTGGTATTGAGAGGTGGTGTCTTTAAGAGGTGATTAAGTTGTTAAGATAGATTAATATCTTTCTCAAGAGACTGAGTTAGTTCTTGCAGGAATGGACTGGTTCCCATGAGAATGGGTTGTTATAAATCCAGGCTGCCTCTACCGTTCGGTCTCTTTGCATATCCTTCCACTTTCTGCTATGAGCTGAAGTCCTCACCAGATGGGCTGCCTGGCTTTGGACTTCCCAGCCTCCAGGATTATATGCCAAATAAACGTCTTTTCTTTATAAATTACCTAGTCTCAGGCATTCTGTTACAGCAACAGAAAATGGACTAAGACACAGAACAACACAGCTATTCAGCAGAGATGATTAAGATGCAAATGGAATAATAAGTCCAAAGAATGGTCTAGAGGGTAACTTCAAGAGAACTGTGACATTCAAGGACAGGAAGAAAGGGGGAGGTGATTTGGATGGAGAAGGAAGGGTCAGAAACAGAAGCACATAGCTCTAGCAGGGAGAAGAGTCTGAAGAGGGTTCTTCAAAAACATCAAATGTCACATATTTGGATTGGTAAGGGGCAGGAGGACACAAGGTCTGAGTAGATTATTTCTAAGATGAAAGAGACTTGACTATGTTTTGGGCCTTCACTTTCTTCATATAAAATATGGGAAGTTGGGGCTGGGCGCGGTGGCTCACGCCTGTAATCCTAGCTCTCTGGGAGGCCGAGGCGGGAGGATTGTTTGAGCTCAGGAGTTCGAAACCAGCCTGAGCAAGAGCGAGACCCCGTCTCTACTAAAAATAGAAAGAAATTAATTGGACAACTAAAAATATATATATAAAAAAAAAAACTAGCCGGGCATGGTGGTGCATGCCTGTAGTCCCAGCTACTCGGGAGGCTGAGGCAGGAGGATCGCTTGAGCCCAGGAGTTTGAGGTTGCTGTGAGCTAAGATGATGCCACAGCACTGTAGCCTGGGCAACACAGTGAGACTCTGTCTCAAAAAAAAAAAAAAAAATATGGGAAGTTGGTAGAGTGGGACAGTGGTGAGGAGAAGAGAGTAGGACTGAAGAAGAGGTAGATTATAATATTTAAAGGACCTTCTGTCCCAAAGCTAAGTCATCACTGATGGAAGATCTGCAGGTTAGGGACGGGTATGCCCACAGGTTTTATGGGAATCAGATAAAGGAAATTATGTACTGTAAATCGAGGCTGTCTCTCTCTCTCTTTTTTTTTATGGTAAATGTATGCTTAGAGCCCTCTGTACATTACAGCTACTTTCTTGCTGCACTTAAACTAACAACTTGATCTTTAATACACCATCAAGAAACATTCACAGAGTCTCTCAAAAGGCTAGCGAGCGACTTGAAGTTTCCTTAAAGACGTCTGTCAAAATTTCAACAAAGCTCTTTTTAATAATCCTAAAATGTCCTTTTTCCTTCTGATTTGATTTATAAGCATGTAATTTATAGTTGGTTAAATAAAATGCTTATTTAATTTCTATAACATATTAGAGCTTAAGAGCTTCAGTTGGGAACCCGTGGCTAGCTAAAGCATTTCTAAGGGAAACTCAGTTTCCATTTACAAAGCTTTGACCTTCAGGACATTTGTCAGGAAAGTAACTTGATTCTAGCTATCTGAAGTAAGGAACAATTCTTACCTTCAAAGCTTGTTCCTTTACTTAATTCAGCTCTGTGGACTTGTTGGTTCTGGTACTTGCTCTAAAAAGCTAGGCATACTTTATAATTTATTCATCCAAATGACACCCACCAAATGTAAGTAGAGAAAGTAATTTTAACCTTATTTTAAAAGACATTTTATGAAAAATGAATTATAAAAATAGCCTTGTAAAACCATCCCTCACTTCTACAGACTGGGTCGTTGAAGTGAAGGAAGGTGTGGGAAAAGTCCCCACAAGACCCTGCATTACTAGTGATCTCGCAGAGTTGTTGGGAAATACCGCCCCCGGCTGTGAAAAAATGAGTGTGGTACAATTTTCTAGGCCTTGTTGTAAAGATATGAGAAAAGCTCTTTTTTTTTTTCTTTTTAACCACAAAGGCAGAAAATAAAGGCAGTATTCCCTTAGGCCTAGACAGACAAAGAA